CTGGGTTTGTCCTTTTTTCTTTTTTTTCCTTTTATTTTTTTTGGAATAAAGTCCCGGGTTTTTTTTTTTTTTTTTTTTTCATTGTGCCCTGTAAAGGTTCACATTTTGTCTCACTGTCACCTCAGCAAAATATAAATGTGATTACATTTTGTTGTATGTAAACACATCGTAGAACGTAATTGTAAAGTACAGAAAATGCTTCTCAGGTTTTTAAAAATTGTGGCGGAATTATCCGTTTCTTTTTTTTTTCTTTTAGCCAACCAGAATCAATACTTTATAGAAGCACATTTTTCCTGCAAATAAACCAACACATCTGTTTCAGAATGATCTAGAAGGTCTGGCCATCTTGACACCAACCTTTTTTATTTTACTTTTGTAAATCTGCTTTGGTTTAAACTAATCAATTGCAGCTCTTGCTGTATACTTACAGTGGTGAACCGTTGTTATAGATCTTAGGTTTTCTGCAGAATTTAACAGGTTTTCCTCAAGAATTTCTTGATAGATACCCGATACCTCCTACCGCCGTCTTTTCCAGTTGGTATTGGGCGTTTAGCCATTTCTGGTAATTCGTCAGATGACGCCAAACTATCTGCATGTCTTCTCCCTTTCACAGTTTGAATCATGACTATAATGCAAACATCATCGTTCTCTTTACTACTTTAGGTTCTCTACATACTACTCAAGCTACAAAAACTGTAAAAATGACAAATCATCTTTTCAAATTTTATGTTTACTCGAACACTCAGGTGTCCAAGCTTTTTTTTTTTTTTTAATCCAAGAATTGGAAGTACATTTCGCCAAAGTTTTATATTTTTTTCTAACATTTATAAAACAAATGTTTGCGCTCAGCAATAGACTCAAAAATACGAATTTTATTAAAATCAACAAAATAGTGGAATTGTTGTAAATCTGTGAGTCATTATAGGAACAAAACAAAAACTCCCACAGTTTCTACATTTTTCTTATTTGAGAAGACTTGATTTTGACAAAAAAAAAAGCAGGTCAGTGTTTGTGGTGCTACTTGCTCCAAAATTAAGACGAATGCAAACAAAACCTTGTGAATCAATTTTTTTTTTTTTTGCCTAATATCTTTTTAAAGGATGTATTATTTATCTGTAAAAAAAAATTGCCATAGAAGATGGAAAAAGTGCATGTCTGTATAAACTAAACTAGAGTGCAGGTTGAATAATGCTTTAACTGGATTGCATTGTGGGAAATGTGGAGCGTCACTTCTAACAAATTACTTCTGCACAAAGGGAGAAAACAGCCCTGATCCATTTGGGTTATTCTGAACTGGAGAATTGTTGACGCTCATTAGGGTGGAAAAACACTACAAATCTTTCTCTAATGACTCCCCACCCACCAATCTGCCCCCCCCCCCCAAAAAAAAAGGAAATGCGTGTTTCTCAGAGCAAGTCCATGAACTCAGAACAACTGTTATGAAAATCTAAAGGTCTCACTCGTATGGACGGATGTCAGTGTTCGTGAGGCCATCAAGAGCAAACCGCCGAGGAAGAGTTGTGGAAGGACTTGAAGCGAGAAGCTCGAGCGAGGAAACCGAACGAGTTTAATGTGTCCTGTACGGCTGAATGGGCTGCAGTTCCTTCAAGCAGAAATGAGGCTGAGGTTATTTTCTGCACAGGGGGAAACCTTTGACATACTGAAGTCAAAGGCTCACAAAGTTTTCACCATTGTGGTCATAACAACCAACACTGAGCACCAGAGACCTGAATGAGTAAAGGTCAAAGAAATGGCTTTTCTTAAACGATCATAAATACAACGAACAATTTGCTTAAGAGAAACAAAAACAAAAAAAAACAAAAACAAGAGTCTCAGCGTCCCGGAGTGTAAAGAACAAGTCCAGAAGGAAAGAGAAAATGTATACTATAAAAATAAAACTGTCCTTGTAGTTCAAAATCCACATTTGGCTTTCAGCAAATGTTATCTGTAATCAGGCGTTGCTGTGCAAAGGTTTAAGTTGGTCTGATTATTAGTTTGTAAGGAGTCAAATTTTTCCAGTTATCGTTCAAAGTGGTCCTGGTGGTAACTCTTCAGGCTTTCTGAAGATACATTGTTTTCCTTTGAGCATTATGAATAAAAAAAAATAAAAAAAAGGTGCCGAAACCCAAAGGATGAGCCCAGTTTTGTGTCTACAATGAGCAATTTTGCAAAAACTAACAAACAAACAAAAAAATTCAAAATCAGATCTCGGGCAACTTTGTGACCGGAAGTCCATCTTTGTTCTACTTTGTGAGAAAAATCTATGAAAACGTAGAAACGTTAGCCCACTTCACCACACAGACGATTGTCAGCAATGTGATTCCCACAGAGTTGAAAAGTGAAGATAATCATGGGAAGTCGATGCTCAGAATGTACACCACAAAAAAAAAAAAAAGCAAAAAGCAAAAAGCTAGATTACGGTTTACAAATGGACAGACGGGGTCAGACAAAACTCCAATTTTACCGTTTGACCATAAAGACCATCGATACGTTTGGAGGGAAAAGGGAGACGCTACAAACCTGAAAACACCGTCTGATCGACTACTGAAGATAGGCAGCAGTTCAATTACAACCCTGAAAGGATTAAGAAAGAAAAGAAATATAGGATGAAATAATAATTATAATAATAATAATAAAATAATGGTAATCTCCAATCTCTCTTAATAGGTTTGATTATTACAGATTTCCAGCACAGTGAGGGAAGATACGGGCCTCTGGGGTTTTAGGTATACAAAGAGCAACAGAGTCTCAATTTCTTTCAAATTGCGGTAGATAAATGGCTGCACAGACTCCTTGCTGCAGACATAATTTAATAATTAACATTTCAATCGAAGATGGAAAAGTTGTCAATAAATTATCCCTGGAGCAGGAAGTAAGTCTGCAGAGGTTTGAATCTATTTTTTTTTTTTTTTACCTGAAAAACAATTTCAGATGAGAGAGAGCGAGTTCCGTCTCTTGCTAAAAAGCAATGCCAAGACGGTACACAAGAGATGAGGCAGTTTTTACGCAAAGTTTATGATTTTTACTCCCTAAATGTGTTTATAGATATACAGCCCAGAGTGTTAAAAACAATCAATCTTTAAAGTAACCTTTTCTTGGAGAGTTCGATCTCCAAGACCTCGTTCCTAGAAACACAGGCAGCATGATTACGATTCAATCATGGTTCGAAAATCCGACATGACCTAAAATCCCCAGCCTGCCCCGCCTCACCTCGCGCCCCCACTGCATGTTTGCACTGTAGCTACTAGTCAGCCAGACTTGGAGAAGCAGCTCACTTGATATTCCTTTTCATAATGTATCAAACCAAGGAGACTTAAAAGGCGAGATCTGCAGGGACAAGATCTGGAGCGCATGCTATAAATATTAATAAGGTGCAGCAAACTTACACACCTTATTAAAAACTTTATCTGCAACGACATGCTCCAGATCGCGTCTCGTTGTGCTGTCCCGTTAAGACTTGTTCTCCCGGAGAAACGAGGCTCGGAGCTGGATGAAGTACAAAATATTCCCCGAAACGTTTTACATCAGCGCGTGTGCTTTAAGCAGTGTTCCTATTAGGAGAAACGCTTCCAAACAAGCATGAATTAGTGAGGCTTTATGAGAGCCCGAGCCAGAGGGTGTCTGAAAGGTTTCATCTTTAAAAAAAAAAAATAAAAAATTATATATATATATATATATAAAACGTCTGCCAGATGATAGAAAATGAGAGACTGATGTTATTTCTGAAGTTGATCAAACTTTCAGCTCATGAGTAAGCCTCTGGACGGGTTTGTGTTTGTGGTTTTGACGAGTCCTGAGGAACAACAACAAAAAAATATCCAGAGGTTATTCCTTTTCGCCTGTCTCCGCAGAAAAATCTGCTCGTTCTCGCTTTATTGAAACTGTCTCGTCTTTCACGCCGGCGTCCTCCGTCGGCTGCGTTGCTTCCCTTTTCCTCTCCTCCTTGATTTTGTCCTTTTTCACTTTGTCCTTTGCAGAAACGCCGCGAGGAGGCTTGGTGTCAGCGGTGGTCTCGGGCGAGAAAGTGGAGCTCTCGCAGACGGTGGGTCCCTCCCACTTTGGGATGTCTAAACCCAGCAGCTCCATCAGCTGCTTCATGACATCGTCCACGTAACCGTTGATACGCAGGTGGGCGTGTTTGTCCTGCGAAACAGGCGAGCACAAAAGAGACAATAAGGGATCGACCAGAAACTTCAATGAGTTTTATTGGTGCAATTACAGCGTCAAGTCTTTTGGAGTATCTCTATCCTCTCTGAACATCTAAAGACTCAAGTTTTTTACCAAATGGAAAGTGTCTGGACAGTAATGTTCCAAGTAAATCTTAATTAAATTTAGGTTTAGACTGCTTCAGTGCATAAACATGATTTAACCTGAATCATCCCAGTGATAATGTTTATGGAAATCGCTCATGCTGGAAGGTCTTCATGATGTTTGCTCGCCAAATTTCTCTCTGACAAACCTTCACACAGCAGCTGCATTTATTCTGAGATTAATTAACACACAATTAATTGATCTGTGGTTGAAAAACAACTGGTTGGACGTTATTTTATGTATCAGCATAAAAGTGTATACTTCCCCACTCTGTCACATGCAATAAATTAAATGTCGTCTTTCTGTTGTAAAATGTTTAAGAGGTATCAAGGCACAGAATCAGTGTCAGAAGTTAAGCATTTTAATCCGTAGGACTCTGTGGATGAGTTCAATTAGTTACTTTAATCTGTTTAAAAGAACAGTACAAAATCAAGAAAAAGCCTTCGACTAATTTTCAATTCCTGTCAGAGATCCCTGTTTGAGTCTGATTGCATTGAACAGACCTGAAAATTATAATTACCCCTCAAATAATGGCCTCCACCGTAATCATTCACCTAATGAAATGTTTTCTGCCAGTGATTACAAGGGAAAGCACGTGCAGTGTTATGAGCGCGAGTAAACTGCAACGCAAATCACCAGAAGAAGAAAAACACAGCGAGGTGACTCCAAAACAGGTTCCCCCATTTTCCCATCAGACGCGCAGCGTCGGCTTCAGCGAAACAAACGAATGAAAACATCTCCAAAAGCGTGAATTTCACAAACACCGTCGGCGCCATTCAGCGTCATCACAGGGCACGCTGTTTCGTGATGCTGCGTCACTTCATGCGCTTGTCGCTTATTGTTTACACTTCAAAGTACGCCCGGGTGTTCTATCAGATGGACACACGCTGTCAGGATAGCGTACACATGCCCGCGCATGCGCATTAGTAAGTCCGACCGTCAGTGGAGTCGTCAGTTCAGCATACGCAACAAGTTATGACGAAAATAAGTCACTGATCTGACAGAACACCGACATTGACTAACTAAAAGTAAAGAAATGCATCGAAACCCTCTGTCGTTTTGCCTCAACATTGTGGATTTCTGAAGTGCAGAAGACAGAGGACACTCGTTACGTGACACACACACACCTGCACTCACCATTAATTATGTATCATATACACAATCACTTTGCTGATGTATAGAAATACTGACTCAGTTTACAGCATAGGGAAGCTATTTGAGATACTGTCCCAGAGTGGTTTATAAAAATTAAATAAAAAAATAAAAAATAAAAAAAATCACCGGAACAAACCAAATTAGGTTTTAGCAGCTGATTTTGCTTCGGGGTCTGCCTCAAGTGGACATGTGAGGAATTGCACTTTCTCCACATTTCCATTGCTAGTCACTTAAGGACCAGGAAACAGTGAAGTGATTTGTCACTACAATATCAGTGTAGTTTTTATATCCTTGTTATCCCAAAGTGAAAAAATGATCCACACACATCGGCAAAACAACAGATTTCTCCTCATTAACAAACTTTGATATTTTTATTCCCGCCGTTTTCTGCTGTGAATTCAATGGAACATTTTAACTTTGAGTATGGTGGTGCAAAAAAAAAAAAAAAAAAAAAAAAAAAAAAAAAACTGAGCTGCGTTTAGATATGCAGGTAGATATGCAGGGTTGTCAGTGCTGGTCCTCAGGGCCTTATTCAAGTCTTAAAACGTGTGCTACAACACACCTGATTCAAATGATTGCATTATCTCTTCCTTAAAGCTGTAGTAGGCAGCTTCTATTACATTCTGCGTTTAACTTGTCACTATGTCATGACAGTCTAGTATGAGACAAATAATCAGTGAAAAAAGCAAAATCAGCATTCCAGATTTTTTTTTTATTTTTTATTTTTTACAGTAATGCTCCACCTGTGAGAGTAAAGCTTTTGGGCATTCAGACAACAATCCTGCATGCCCCACTGCTGAACAGGGCATGTGAAAAACAAAAACAAAAGAAACATGGCTGGAAAGCTCCAGCCAAGCAGATGGCTTGACTAGTTAGCTGGCTGATAAGAGCCTTTTATTCTCCCAGTATTAGTCTGGAAACAACAGAAACAGAAAAGCGACAAGAACTTAAACTCCACGGTGGAATGTATCCAATGTTTATTCTTTGTTTTTTTTTTTGTTTTTTTCAAAATAAATGCTTTAGATGGAACTACTACAATTTAATGTCTTATATTTCAGCACGAGTAGAAACAATCGTGGCTTTTCTGTTGTAGATTAAAGTAATTATGTTCTATAAAACCATGATATTTCAAGTCGCACCTTGAGATTCTACACTTGGAGGTCAGTTTCCTCCTCACAAACAATGAAATATTTCTGGACGCATGTCTCGATGTGGCGTGTAGATGAGACTCACATGTTTGGTTGGTTGCAAGTTGACTATAACCACTTTCCCTCCTTTGCGCTTTGTGAGGAGTGGGAGGTCCCCACTGGGTTTGATCTGCATGGACGTGCCCAGAGTCAGTGCCAGGTCTGCTCGTCTGCATGCCAACACAAGGAGTTAAAAATCAGCCAAAATAAGCAGATGCGAGTTTTTGACAGTCTTCCGATTCGCCCGTTTCTCCTCAAGGGTAATTCCTGCATGTGGGCGTGCATGAAAGCCGGTGTGGAAAACAGCAACACTTAGGAAATATCTGGTAAGGACCAGGAATTTGGATGCGTGTTTAGTTTACTTGCATGTCTGCAAGAAACTTTTGACGTCTCTACTGTAAACAAAAAGAAAACTCAGCAAATATTGCAGGGATACGGGTTTACAAGTAGGTGAAAACAACTATTCTGTCTCCGTGGTTTACACCACAGCATGGATTTGCAGTCGATGAAAAGAAGCCTGAATAAAAATGTAGCTGGACTTCTTTTTCTGATTCTTCAAGATTTCTTTTTAGCTCTCATCCTCATCCCAAACATATCTGCAGTTCCAGCCGTCCAGCAGGGAGTTTCAGGCTTACGAGATGCTTGTTGGATCATTCACTCTCCTTGCGGCTGGGTTAAAAATATCTCATGTAGTAAATATATGCATCTCATGTTTAGCTCACCTACATTTACCGCAGTCTAAAAGTGAATTGCTAATCATTTTTCCTTTACAAACTGCAAATCTTCATTTATTATTCATTTTTAATTAAAAACTAAATGCCTATGTTACGGCGTTTGTTGCTGTCCCAGTTGCAGGCTAGCACAAAACATATTTTTTGTGTTTTGCATTTCAAACGGACAAGCTGACCTGGGTTTTTCTTCATGTTTTTAGCAAAACAAAATACATTTTGATCATTTCTAGCGTCTGTCTTCGAATTTTGGAAGTCAACAAACTAAACCAAAACAGTAATCAAAAGTTAAGGGAATATTTCTTAAAATTTGCCCTTAAAGGCAATTTATTGTATCAGTAATTTTTCTAATTCCTGTGAATATTAGAGAGGCTGGTGGCATTACTAAAGTCATAATTGCAGCAGCGTAAATAATATGGTAGATTAAAGCAGATTAAACTTGTGGGAAATGTTTTTGACAAAATAGACACTTAGGGGGGAAAAAAACAAACAATCTTTTAGCTAATCAAAAAGGAAAATTTGTGCATGCCTGTTATACTTTAAGCAAATGTTACTGAAAAACCTCAAGCAGTACGTGAGCTCAATGGCCGACAAACAAAATTTTAAATCACAGTGATAAGTGCCTACTGCATGGATTTGTTTTCCCAAGAGTCATCATTAAGTAGCTATGCAGGAATTTAGAATCTCACTTAAAGGAGGGAAACCTGGTGCTACAAAGCCATCGCACTCTCCAAACTTGGGGATTTGGACTCCAAGATAATTCACCAAGAGTTTGGGGATGGATGCCTTCAAACAGAGTCATTTAGGACGAATTATAGCACAGTCTGCAAGACGGACCTTGCCATCCAGCATCAGTGTCCGACCTCACAGATGTATTTCTGGAAGCATGTTGACCTATTCCCATGAACACCTTGTGGAAAGAAAGCTGTTACAGCGACATCAGTAATCTCATGAATTAGGAATAGGGTCAGCCATGGTCATTTGTGTTTATTTGAAGGCGGCCTTTGAATTACTTTACACAGTATAGTAAGTATTTTGCAAGTAATGTGTCAAAACTAACACAGTATTTGCATATATTTATGTCTGTACTATCAGCTTTTCATGACTTTTATTCATCTTTTATTGCCTCATTTAACATTGCAATGGTGTCATCCTGAAATTTGAGATAAATGTTAATTTTTTTCTGTCTTCTTTTCATCCTAGTCAGAAATTCAGAGGGTAACTTCTTAAAAAAAAAAAAAAAAAAAAAACAGTGAACAGATTGTTTTGGGAAAACATTTGGTGAGTGGCTAAGACTTGAGAAACACACAAGCTAAACAACAGCTTGTGTTGCCACTGCAATCCTCTTCTCTGCATCACTGTGACTAAAATAAGGCTAATGCAGCTAATCCCTGGCAGATTCTTACAAAACACCATGCTAGATGCAGCTCTGGTGCCATAACTTGCACGTTCACTTAAAAATGACAAAGCAACTTATACAAAAGAAGGGAAATTTCAGCTAGCGGGTCGAGTTTAAGTCTGATCACGCACTCTCTACAAAATTTAGAAGCACTACAACTTCACATTAAATCAGCTTTGAATGATTCGCTGTTTCTACCTGTTTTTTTTTTTTGTTTTTTTTTTCCCCATTGCCACAAACAAACAATTAGAGTTCAAAGGTCTGTGCTTCCAAATCCCCTTTCTGCAATTTAAATGGTAATTATGAGTCTATTATGTGTCAGCAGATCAAGGCGACACAAGCGCATCCTTTTCTTCCCTCTTGCAGCTTTGTAAACACGCAGTAAGAGCTTTTGGGGCTGAAGGAATGAATGAAAATGTTCATCTGAGGACATTAAAGCCGACGGAGGTGAATACGTAAAGCCCGAAAAAGAAATAAAAAAAAAAGGTTTTCAAACAAGACCTTCAGGACAGTGACGGCTCGAGCGAATCAATCCCAACACTTTGTTTGACTTTTTTTTTTTTTTTTTTACTTCACAGCAAGGTTTGAACTGGCGTTTGTAGCTCTCGCCGTCAGATGAAACGGGGATGTTGGAGGAAACGAGGCGAGAAAAGTGAAGGATCTGTGTGCTGCTCGGTGATAAAGACAGGTGATGAAACAACGATTTACGTTTCTCTCACCTGCTTGCATCATCTGCTCTGTTCAGGTCTCTGTCAGGCAGAGCATCCTCCCAATCCAGTATGGTGCTGATCAGCTTTCCTCTTCAGTGATTAAAAAAAAAAAAAGTGATGAATAAGCACACTAATAAATAAATCACGATGAGCTGTTTCTTTTTTTTTTTCTCCCCATCCCTTTTCAAATGCATGACCCTGTGTGTGTGTGTGTGCGTGTGTTTCACCTGCAGGCCCTCAGCCCTCTGGACCGTACCACCTCGCAGTAACGTCCTGTCGGTTTCAGCCCCATCACACCGATCACCTTCTCCCTCACGTACTGCCTGGAAAACAGCAAATCCCAGAAGTTTAACACTTGAATGCATCCACCTCCATTTGCTCCATTTTCAGGAGGAAAAATAAAAAAAGGCAAGCAGTTCAGAGGCACCGCTGGAACCTCTACATGCTCCTACTCCTGCTCTGAGCTTATCAATTCATGGGCTAAGAAGAACAATTTGGAGATGCTCTGGAAGGATTTGGGGGGGGGGGTTAAATATTGTGTAGCTAAAGCAAAATTGTTTAAATGTGCTCGACAGCCTCGCTTTTCCCACGTCATGTCCCCAAAGGCGCAACCTGCTGAGAGAGAACGCCACGAGAGGGAAGATGAAGCCGCTTTCTTTTTTCCTAGGAGCATCCGGAGACGATAACTTTGCATTAACCTTTTTTCTGAGTCGTTCTCTGAAAGCGAGCGTGTCGTCCCGCAGGAGATAATCAGCAAACATAAAGCTAATTTAAAATTAATTATAACAGCGCCTTGTGTGTGTGCAGAGAATTAAACTTTAGCCGAGTTTGTTTTTTGCTCACGTTTCTCTTCTTCTTCTTCTTCTTCTTCTTCTCCTGCCGCTGCTGCGGGCTCTACCCGTCAGCATCTCTGAGCTGCTACCTGTGTGGCATTTTGCTCGAATATTAATAAGCATGTTTTTCTTCCAAAGATTTTAAGAAACACTGGAGTTCAACCCAAACATAAAACCCAAGCAAGTCCTCGCAGTGCGACGCCAGAGACGCCGCTGACGCCAGCGATCCTGATGTGCAGGAACGCTCAGACACGAGCCGATGTCTGTGAATAGTAACCGAGCCTCTTGTCTGCATGTTTTATGGATGACGCTGCAGCCACACAGTTTCTGCTTGTATGCCGAGGAATTTCGACTAATAACTCATGAAACTGAGTAAAAGCATATCTGAAAATGTTTCCACCACAAATTCCTGAGATGGTTAGTAAAATGTCTGACATGCTTTGGCCAACATACCACAGAGATGAAGGCGCATAACTCCTCTTTCAGCTCTGTGCTTACAGTTTTTTTTCGTAGCGGCTGGAGGTTTGGGGGGTTTAGGGTGAGGCGCACCACTCCACACGATGTTTGTTCCACAGGGAGGGAGCCTATTTTCAGGTGCAGCCTCATGTTGCCATGCAAACGGGGGCTTGAACACCTTTTACGCTTGTTTAGGACTGAAACGATTAACCAGATTAATTGTGATGAATTTGTTACAGGAACAATCGTCAGCTAATTTAGCAATAGACTAATCGTGAACATTAAATGCAGACTCCAAAGGGCTCATCTGTTGAAAGAACAACTCAGTTGAGCCAAAACTGTGCAAAAAAAATAAATAAAATAAAATAAAAATACATGCTTTTTTTTTCATTCAAGATAAAAAAAATAAAAAAAAACAACAACAAAAAAAAACTTATTTGTCTGAAAATATGGTCCATCTAGAACTTTCTGGAAACAACAAAAATCTCCAATTAAAGACCTTGTGCAATCCAACTATTAATCGGTGGTGACTGCTTTGGTGCTTGTGAGCGTTCGTACACGTACCTGCCACACTTCTCGCATTCCTCCACAAACATGTTTCCATGAAGCTCTGATAGTTTATCCCTGGAGGAATGAGGAGATAAATTCACATCAGCAGGAAAAACACACACACACATTTACATAAAACCTAAAGCAAAAGTAAAAGTATGAATTTTTGAGGATAAACTTTTTCCTTGCCGTTTAATGAATCTTTAAGTGTACGCCTTGTGTTGTTTCACCTGCTACTTCTACGGTTTAATCCCAGACGGTTTATTCTGCCGGTCCATCTGCCGTTTTGGTGATTCCCTCCGAGACCCTACTCCTTCACTGTCTGACCTCATTTCAAAAAAACCTGATTGAGGGTGGAGGAAGAGCTCTATGTAAATGGTTTCCAGGAAAAGCAAGTCCTCCAATATGCGGAAAGGCTGGATGTACGAACAGAATGAAAAATTGGACTCTCAGCCCTGGGCTCAGTCCAATATGACCGAGTAACACTCGAGCAGACGACCACACACACACTTTCGGTGGCACCGAGAATTATTTGATTTCAAATTAAGTGAGCTGTGATGCTGGTATGGCTGTTATTACAAAGCAGCAGCAGCAGCCTCTAATTTTAAAACAATAAGTCGAAGCCAAACACGTCTATTTATCGGTTTATTCATGACATTCTCCAACAAAACGCCAGCAGTAAAATTACAAAGATGCAAGAGACACTCTGGGCCCAAATCACCGATATATTCAGCCTCTGCTCGTTGCTGGATGCTAAAACTACTAAAAGGTTTCAAGATTTTTATTTTTTATTTTTTCCCCTGGCACTGGTACGTCTCTCTCTTACTTCAAAAGCTTTCAGATGGGGATGAAAACTCATAGCTGCCCAATTAAAAAAAAACAACAACAAATAGCATCCTCTTCATTTTCAAGTGTTCAGTTGTGAATTTGGATCAGTGCCGTGTTATCCTGGATCCAAACCTAACAATCATGGGTTCTTTAATCTTTTCATCTTGCTTTGTGTGGTCAGTGTTACCAGAGCTGCCCCTTTTCTTCTACTTGGCCTGATTTTGTTACTTAACACACAAACTGATGTACTTTTAGTCTCGAAACGCTCGTCTCAGACGCCCAGAGTCCATGCGACGTTATCCAAGCGAGATTTTGTTTTTCTCTTGAAGATTGGCGTCCTCCTAAAACCGAACTCTAGCAAGGGGATACGGATCTAAATAACACCAAACTGAGACAAGGAGGAAAGTCTTAGCACTTTCAATCGTGCTCAGCTTGCAGACATTGTGAGTCTGCTGCAGCATCCTGCCGTTTTTACACCTAAACCGCACCAAGAAAGAATCGAAGCAGATATATTAGACAAATATCTCCACCAACGGAACGTCATTACCTGGGGAAGCCTGATCGAACATGCAGCCCGTCGACATTCTGGCTGATGAGGTATTTCAGGTATCCTGCCCTTTGCAGTCCCAGGAGGGCCATGTGAGTCAAACTGGGGCGGGCATCTTCAAATGTGGTATCGAAGTGAGGTGACTCGCCCTTTTCTTCCAGCGTCCACACACCCTTGGGACCTCTGAAGGAGAAGAAACGAGTCTGATGTTGCTCTGGTTGAAAAGGTGGTGGCGACGTGGCAGGTGAAGGAGTCAAAAAAAAAAAAAATGTCTACAATGCTTTGAAGTTTTAAATTGAGAATAACCAGCTTCAAGGTAACAACGTTGTTACAACATTAGGAGTTCATAAATGAGTAAACAACAACAACAAAAAACACAGCAATAAATCAACATATGTTCAATGTGGCTACTTTTGGAGTCATAGCCAGGAAAGCTGAATCTAAGCTAGCGAGAGCCAAGACTTGCATTTTTGGTTACAATGTTGGATATAAAGTCACTTCACTCCATCTTCTGGAAATATAAGCACATCAGAGATCAGAAAATCGACCATATGGTGGATTTATTCAACATCAAAACAATGCGATTCAAAGAAAAAAAAAACATTTCACAAACCGTTGGAAGTAACTTGTATTAAACGTACAGTGCAGCCCGACAGGATCTTTGTTTGGGCTCAGTTTCAGGCGTCTGGCTGCGCTAATGAATGCAGCGTTTTGTTGCCATCGCTGCAGTCATCCGACATCCTGATAGTTGCCAAGTTACTTTGAGAACAAACTTATCTCCCTGCATCAGAGATGGGAACACGTCCTGCTGCAGCGGACTCGTCTCTCGCTCTCGCTTTAGTCGTCCAGCGGTCTCATCTTTCAGCTGCGCCGCAGTTTGCCGCTTGCTCAGCAGAGACGAGCTCAAATGCTCATCAGCGCCGACGCGCTAAAGTGTACGTTGCATGTCGTGTGGGTCATGTATCACCATTAAAAACAAACAAACAAAAAAAAAATGGTAGCAGGACAAAGAGGAATGTTAATTTATTTACATACTCCAGGGATTGTTCTCAAGATACTGACGCGAGGGAATGAACCTTTTCTATTTGTATGTTTTTATAAACAAGAAACATGCATTTCCTTATTTTGAATCTGTGCTTCAGTAGTGTACTCCCCCCCTCCGGGCCCCTGAGGGTCAAGTCTGGGCATAAAAATCTAAAATTCACCCTAAAGCATGTGTGTGCAAATGTACTCAGACAGGAAAAATATGCACAACTGCTTTTAGTTTTTACCCATCATGAGTAAGATCAGAAAAAAGTATCTCATTTAGAAGGATATAAATACAGGTCAACGCAAACTCACAGGTATAACAGAATATTTCCATTTGCTATCTTTTATATAACACAAGTTAGTTTAGAAACACAGAGCTGTGCTTAAAATCACTATCTTGCTTAGGAATGAATCAAATACAGATTCAAATTATCTTTACTAAGCAATTCTTGTGATTTGTGAAGACATGAACCAAAAAAAGAACAGATGCAAAAATGTTGGGGGTTTTTTAAGCAAACCTTTCATGCCATCCTTATTCAGTCTTTTTTTATTATTATTATTATTATTATTATTATTATTATTATTATTATATCATTAACATCCTCCCTCCCTCCGGGATGTTGGATCAAAGATGTTTTTTTCTGAGAAATGCTCAGTCTGTTTCACAGATCAGGCCGAGAAAAGAAATGATGCCATAATATGAAGTTCAAAGTCTTGTATTTGGACTTCATATTGGTTCCAATAATTTCAGACTCCAATGTGGTGGGAATGAGCTTTACAAATGTGTCCAGAGTGATGGGAAATTACAGCAGATCCTCTAAAAATCATTGTTCTTTCTCACTTTAGTGCGGCAGATCTGTATGCTTTCGCAGAGGAGTTCAGACTCACTGCGAATCAATGCACACCCAAGAAAGAAAAACAAACAAACAAAAAAACATATTTATGAGAAATAAATCAAGTTCTTTTACCAAACTTTTTTCTTTGTTTATATTTTTTTCCCACAGGTTTTTGTAAATAGTAAACTGCAATGGTTCGTGCTTGTTGAGAACTTTATCGCCGGTTGAACTGAACAAAAATTTGCACCGGGTAAAGTACAGATCATTTTACAAATTTCTTATTTTTCTGCTATAACTTTGAATTCATACTCGCACTGCTCAACTGTAAACCCTTTTTCAGCGAACACAGTCAGGACCCCTGTCTTGTGGTTTATAGATGGAGTAGTTATGTAGGGCACTGAAACAACAACGCAAATCTTTATGTAACTGAGAAGCTGCTCTCGTGTCCTTTTATCCTCACCAGCCTGACAAGTGGCGTATCAAGCAAACACTGCCCTCTTGTGTTCAAACGAAGATGCTACAAAAAGAACGTGGACAACTAAATTCAGGGGGGGGGGGGGGGTTTTTATTGAAAAAAAATTTATAAAAAAAAAAAAAAAACGGATTCCC